ACGGCGAGGCGCCGACGCGCGCGCCGTCGCCGTCGCCGTCGCCGGGGACGGAGACAGCGACGAAGCGGCCCCGCGGCGACGAGGCGCCCGCCGAGGGCCGGCAGAAGCGCCGCGCGAGCCCCCAGGCGTCACGCGCGGCGGACGAGCCCGTGCACTCGCAGTCGCGCGGCGCGCGGCCGCGAGACGCCCGCGTCCCGCGACCGCATCCCGCGCGTCCCGGGCCGCGCGACCGCGGGGCCGCGCGACCGCGGGGCCGCGCGACCGCATGCACGAGGGTGAGACATTCCCAACTTTGGAGCCGCCTCCCTCGGCTACTTTCGACTCGTTTCGGCTCATTCTTGGACGAGCGATCATCTCTCGCGGCGTTCTCAAAGAGCGCATGCTTTTTTTATCGACAATTTATCGCGACACATCCAATTTCAAGCGACATTGACTCGCCCGTGTCAGGCTCCGGCGCGACGGCACTCCCGACTACGATTACAGGGGCCTCTCGGAGAGCGAGGGCGCCGGGGCGGCGCCCGAGGCCGAGGCGGCGGCGCGGGACGGCGCGTCGGCGCGGGACGACGCGTAGCGCGGCGGCGGCGGAGCTTCATCCCCGCCCACGACACGGCCTCAGACACGTCCCTTCGAGTTCCCCTAATTCAGACACGTCCCTTGAAGACACCCTTCCCCTAATTAAAATTGTGGCTCCACCGTACGGTCTAGACGACGGAGCGTGCAGTCGACTCCGAGTCGGTGTCGCACTCGAGTGTCTCAGCCTGAGGCAGGCTTAGCGGCGGCCCCGCCGGCACCGGCCCGGCCCGGGCGCCGCACTGCACGCCCGGCCGCCGCTCCCGCGCAGTGGGTCGGCGTTCGGACCTTCTTGCGCGGTCGGCCGGGCGGCCGCTTCGCGGGCGCGGCGGGGATGGGCGCCTCCAGGTCAGTGCGGTGCGTTTAAAGGTGCGTTTATGAACGTCCGAGCCCCGGCAATGGGCCCGGGACTCGCGCGCACTGCAACATCAGTGCTTGTTCGACCAGGGGGGGGCAAGCCTTATGGCGGGGTGCGCGTCGCCTTGGAAGACGGCCTAGCTTCGCGCGCTTCTTGGGCTTCTCGCTGCCCTCGGGCGCGTCGTCGTTGACGAGGACGTTGTTCTCGACGAGCTCCTCGAGTTGGCTCTTCAGCGGCGACGCGTCGAAGTGCTCGGCATGGCGGCTCTCTACGGCGGCTGGCGGGTCGTCGACGGTTCCCTGGAGACGGTGTGGGACGCGTCGGCGTTCCGGCGGTCCGCGCGGGCCGGTCCCGGCACGCGCGTCGCCCTCGGCGCCGGCGCGGCCGTCGCCGGCGCCGGGCGGAGCGTCGAGGCGTCGAGCGTCACCGTCGAGGCGGCCGTCGACGAGGCGCTGGCGTCGGACGCGTACGCGGCGCTCGTGCGGCGGCGGCTCGTCGGGCTGCACGTCGCCGCGGGCTGCGCCGTCGCCGACGCGCCCGCCGCCGACGCGCCCGCCGCGGGGCCGGCGGCGGCGGCGGCGCGCGGCGGCGGCGCGGCGGCGCCGCCGCTCGCCGCCGCCGTCGTCGCCACGGCGCCCGGCGGCGTCGTCCGCGTCTCGGCGCGCACGCGCGTGGGCGTCACCCTCGCGCTGCGGTCCGCCGCGCGCGACCCCGCGCGGGCCCCGGCGCCGGCGTCAAACTGCTACCCCGTCGAGGCGCCCGCGCTGACCGCGGTACGCGAGCTCGTCGCGGTGCCCTGGCTCGCGGACCTCGCGAGCGACCCGGAGCGGCGCGAGATCCCCGAGGGCGCGCTGATCCACGGGCCCGCCGGCGCGGGCAAGACCTTCGCCTGCGCCGCGGCCGCGGCGCCCGCGGCGGGCCCCGCGTTCGGCGCCGGGAAATACCCGCGCGTCCGCGCCTTCGAGCTCGGCTGCGCGGGGCTCCTCGAGCGCGACGTCGGCGCCGCGCTCCGGGCGCTCGACGGCGCCTTCGCCGGCGCCGCGGCCTTCGCCGCGGGGCCGCGGCCGCGCGCCGCGGCCGCGGCGCCGGCCGCGCCGGGCGCGTTCTACGGCGTCGGCCTCGTCGTCCTCGACGGCGTCGACGCCTGGGGCGCCAAGGACGGCCGGCGCGACGCGCCGGCCCTCGCCGCGAAGAAGGCCGTGCTGTGCTCGCGCCTCCGGGAGCTCGCGCGCGACGCGCGCGCGCTCGCGCGGCCCGGCGGCGAGCGGCCGCTCGGGCCCAAGACGGCGGGCCACGTCGTCGTCTGCGGCACGTCGCGGCTGCCGCCCGGCGACCTCGACGGCGCGGTCTTCGGGCCCCGGGGCGCGCTCGAGGTCGCGATCGCCGCGGAGCCGCCCGGCGAGGCGCTGCGGCTCGCGTACCTCGAGGCGTTCCTGCCCGCCGTCGAGGCCGGCGTCGACCTCGCCGCGTTCGCGCGGGACCGCGTCGGCTACGTCGCCGGCGACCTGCGGCGGCTCGCCGACGCGGCGGCGCGCGCGGCGGCCGACCGCGACAAGCCCGAGCTGCCGCCGATCGCGCCCGCGGCGCCGGGCGGGGCCGTCGAGATCCCCATCGCGGCGCCGCGCGAGGGCCCGCCGCCGCCCGCGTCGGCCGCGGACCTCGCGGCCGCGGCCGCGGAGGTGCCGCCGTCGGGCCTCGCGGCGTTCGCCGTCGAGGTCCCGAAGACGTCGTGGGCCGACGTCGGCGGCCAGGCCGAGGCGAAGCGGGCGCTCCAGCAGGCCGTCATCTGGCCCGTGACGCGCCGCGCCGAGTTCGACCGCTTCGGCATCCGCGCGTGCCGCGGCGTCCTGCTCCACGGGCCGCCGGGCTGCTCGAAGACGCTCCTCGCGCGCGCGACGGCGTCCGAGTCGAGCTGCGCGTTCATCGCGCTGTCCGGCGCGGACGTCTACAGCCCCTACCTCGGCGAGGCCGAGGCGACCGTGCGCCGCGCCTTCGCCGCGGCGGACGCGGCGACGCCCTGCATCCTCTTCTTCGACGAGATCGACGCGCTCGTCTGCGACCGCGCGGGCGGCGACGGCCGCGGCGCCGAGGCGCGCGTGCTCTCGACGTTCCTCAACTGCCTCGACGGCGCGAGCGGCGGGCCCCGCGACGGCGTCGTCACGCTCGGCGCGACGAACCGGCCCCACGCCATCGACCGCGCGCTCCTGCGGCCGGGGCGCCTCGAGACGTCGGTCTACGTCGGCCTGCCGGGCCTCGCGGACCGCGAGGCCGTCCTCGCGGTCCACGCGCGGGGCCTGCCCCTCGCGGCCGACGTCGACCTCGCCGCGCTCGCGGCGCGGACGCGGGGCTTCTCCGGCGCGGACCTCCGCAAGGTCTGCCAGGACGGCGCGCGGAACGCGCTCCGGAAGCGGCCCGACGTCCTCGCGGCCGCGCGCGCGCGCGGCGGCGACGGCGCCGCCGCCGGCGACGGCCGGAGCCCGCGCGCGCCGGCGCCGGCCGCGGCGGCGCCCCCGGGCCCGCCGCTCTCCGTCGCCTTCGCGGACCTCGTCGCCGCGGCCGACGCGATCGTGCCCTCGAACGACCGGAGCCGCACGTCGCCCCACGCCTTCGCGAGCGGCTGGTGGGCGGACAGCGGCCGCAAGGAGCCGGAGCCGCCGGGCTTCCCGGGCGCGCGGCCGAACCGCGACGACGTCGAGGTCGTCGACTGGCGCGCGAACCTCGCGCGGCGCCTCGCGGACCCGGCGACGTCGCTGCCGCCGACCCCGGAGGAGGCGAAGCTCACGGACCCGCGGCCGCCGCGGCCGCCGCTCGGCCCGGACCCCGGCGCGGCGGACCCCGCCCGCTAACTTTCGCACGTCGCAGCATGGCGCCCCTGCCGCGCGAGCGACGTCAGGGCCGACGCCGCTAGGGTTATCCCCGGCCGCGGCTACGTCGCAATTCGCCACGCGTACGCGCGGCTCAGGGCGCGGATCGGACGAGGTCCGCCGCGACGCGCTCCTCCAGGTCGCCGTCGTCGTACTCGACGTCGTAGGTGCCGTCGTCGCGCGCGGCGCGGATCCGCCCCGCGTACCATTCTTCCTCGCCGCCGTAGCGCGCCTCGACGCGCGCGCCGGCGGCGAACCCCGCCGGCGCCGGCGGCGCCTCGGCCTCGGCCTCGGCGTCGTCGTCGTCGGCGAACTCGTCGTCGTAGTCGTCGTCGTCGTCGTCGTCGTCGTCCGCGGGGGCCGTCGCCGGGACCTCGGCCTCGGGCGCCGCGGGCGCCGCGGGCGCCGCGGGCGCCGCGGGCGCAGAGCCGAGGCACTCGAGGTCGTCGTCGTCGCTGCCGTCGCCCGGGTC